CCCAGCCTCCTTTCTCTTAGCTTTTATTGCTGAGCAAACATCACATGGTATTGAATATCTCTTTGGTCACTCTGGATCAGCTGTCCTGGCAATGTCCCTCCCAAGATCTTGCCCACCCCCAGCCTACTGGTGGCAGGGGAAAGTGGGAGAAACAGCCTTGATGCTGTGCCAGCACTGCTCAGCAGTAGCCAGAACACTGGCGTGTTATCAACACCTTTCTAGCTACCAATACAAAACACAGCACTGTGAGGGCTGCTGTGGGGAAAATTAACTCCATCTCAGCCAGACTCAGTACAGAAATATATGATAAACATATCATTTTGAAGATTATTCTGCATACAAAAGAAAAGCAGCTGACCCAGTTTGGCTCAGGCTTCCTAGAAAAAGCTCTCCTCTTAGCTAAGACATTTCCTTTTGGTGCCAAAGTTATGAGTAAATGGTTTTGATGCTGAGATGCCAACTTCGGGTATATGTACTATCTTGTTTAGCAATAGTTTATGGGACATCAGGAAAGAATTTTGGACAAGATCTAATTGTATATTTTAGAAAGAAAAAGTAGCATATGGACTCTAAACAGAGGAGTAATACGATTACCATCTCTTTTCAGCCGGGCTGTGTGAACACCACAGAAATGGACATTAGAAAGTGTCGTCGTATGAAAAACCCACAGAAAGTGAAAAAGGTCAGAGTTTTTAGTTTTGTTCTTTTGTTTTGTAAATGCAGATCATGCTTGACTGCTACAGTATATCAGAGTTTCCCAATGGGAACCAAAAAAGTGTTTTGCAAATATCAGTTTTGTTTTAATCCGTGAATTTACTATTCCTGTTTTATCAAAAGAGAGGTACAGACTGGGTGACTGGTATAGCTAGGAAGGGCATTAAGGAGCTGTGTGTCCCAGATGTCTGCTGACTCTGCACTCCCATAAAATTAAAAGCAATTGGCAAAAGTACCTAGGTCCCATTTTCAGAAATTATTTGGGCACAGATTTTTCAGAGTTGTTTACTCTCCTTAATCATTTCAAATGCTGGATCATTAGCAACTTGGGTGCCTTCAACTTCCAGAAAGTTTTAGCTCTTCTGTGTATATATTAGTTTTGGAGGTGACACCAGACTCCTGAACTTCCGCTGGAAGTTAAATTGCATCATAGCTATTCACATGTCTCTTATGAATGTTAAATAAAAAGCAAAAGCACTAAATGAAAGGGTAACTGATACTGTTTTCAGTGCATGTCTCTGTTCTGAAAATGAATGACTACCAGTCAATCTTCAGGTTTTTGTTTTGAGACGTTCATTTGAACTTGGCCCACTGACACCTGGTTAAACTCTTTATTCAATTTGTAGTTCATAGAATCACAGACTGGTTTGGGTTGGAAGGGACCTTAAAGACCATCTAGTTCCAAGCCCCCTGCCACGGGCAGGGACACCTTCCACTAGATCAGGTTGCTCACAGCTCCGTCCAACCTGGCCTTGAACATTGCCAGGGAGGGAGCAGCCACAGTTTCTCTGGGAAACCTGTGCCAGTGTCTTGACACCCTCACAGTAAAGAATTTCTTCCTTCTATCTAATCTAAATCTTCTATCTACCCTCTTTAAAGCCATTACCCCTTGTCCTGTCCCTAAACTCCCTGATCAAGAGTCCCTTCCTAGCTTCCCTGTAGCCCCCTTTAGGTACTGGAAGGCCAGTCTAAGGTCTCCCCAGAGCCTTCTCTCCAGGCTGAACACCCCCAACTCTCTCAGCCTGTCCTCACAGGGGAGGTGCTCCAGCCCCCTGATCTTGTGGCCTCTTCTGGACCTGCTCAAGCAGGTCCGTGTCCTTATGTTGGGGACCTCAGAGCTGGACACAGTACTGCAGGTGGGGTCTCATGAGAGTGGAGTAGAGGAGGAGAATCACCTCTCTTGACCTGCTGGCCACACTTCTCTTGATGCAGCCCAGGACATGGTTGGCTTTCTGGGCTGCAAGCACACATTGCTGGCTCAGAGTCAGTTTTCCATTTGTTAATACCCCCAAGTCTTTCTCCCCAGAGCTGCTCTCAATCCACTCATTGCCCAGCCTGTATTTGTGCTTGGGATTGCCCCGACCCATGTGCAGGACCTTGCACTTGGCCTGGTTGAACTTCATGATATTTGCATGGGCCCACCTCTCCAGCCTCTCCAGGTCCCTCTGGCTGGCCCATCCCTTCCCTCCAGCATGTTGACCGCACCACACAGCTTCATGTCATCAGCAAACCTGCTGAGGGTGCACTTGATCCCACTGTCTATGTCGCTGATAAAGATGTTAAACAGCGCTGGTTTAATAAAGATGTTAAACAGTCACAGTATTAAACAATACTGACCCTTGAGGAACACCATTCGTTACTGCTCTCCACTCTGACGTTGAGCCATTGACCCAACTCTTTGAGTGCAACCATCCAGCCCATTCCTTATCCACTGATAAGTTTTACAACAAGACATTAAACCAAGTGGAAGAAAATGGCATAGGATTACGTTCTTGTCTTTTCTTTCTCCACTTGGTTCACCACAATGACTGTTCCCAGTGTTCATCCTGCAAGTGTTGACACACACACCTCTCAAAGCTCCTCAAAATTAGCAGCGGTATTTTAACATTTAAAATAAACTCTTTTCTTAATGTGCCTGAGATCTTCCAAATGCAGGCACCTGCAAGCACAGTCTGATCTGTAAATTTTGCTCCAGGTTGAATGATTATTGGCCTATGTAGATATAAATAGTAGGAAATTGCTGGCTTCTTACCTTATTGTTTTGCATACTGCACTTTTCCTTATTGCGTGACAGAGAAAAATGCTGTAATCCCTTCTGTTTGTTTATTGGCTCCTCACAGTCAGTATACGGGGTTACAGAAGAGTCCCAGCCCCAAAGCCCTGTACATGTGCCCTCCCAACCTGTACGCAAAACTACAAAAGAGGATTTCCGGAAACAGGTAAGTAGATGGCTATATGGCAACTCTTCTGAGAACTGTTACCTGCAAAAAAAACCCACATAAATTTATGGAGATGTCAGCAAAACCAATTGTATGCATTACCTGTCCTCAATCCTCACATATTTTATGTAAAGTAGTATTTAAAGATATATATATTAATTGAGCAGTGCAGTTGTATGACAATTTGTATTATGGATACTACTGACTTTTGAGTCTACTATTACTCAGTCTGTGGGCCAGTAGACAGATTAATTTTCAGATCACTGAGGATATCTGAAAAGTAGGCAGTGACAAAAGCTAGGGAAGAAGCCAGCATACAGGGGTGCAGGCTGGGGCTGGGTGGTGAGGAAAAGCATTGTTTGGTGTGTTACTATTAGACAGTCCAGTCAGAGCTTTTAAGGAACTGGTAAAAAGTTATTTGCACAATCACTCTAAGGAATGGCCAGCCAACTCGCACATCCTTGCCCTGGCACAGGGAGCTCTCCTTTTAAATTACTTCCTGAAACAAGCAGCACTCACTGAAGTACGGGCAAGAATCGCTAGGTCAGCATTTTAGTAAAGATAGCCTTAAACATGTTTCTTGGGCATCCAGTTTTGGGGTGGTCTTCTGAACTAAACCTAAACACTGTATTTCTTGAGTTTTTGTTGTCACAGGCAACATAGTATATGCTATATGAACTAGATAGCGGAGTGCAAATGTGCTGTAAAATGGTTATTGGTCTTGCGATGTCAGTCAGAGAAATGGAAGAGAGGAGTATGGTGTAAAAAGGGGATCACATTGCACCCTGAGTAGTCTAGGAACCTCAGCCCCAAAGTAGGAATGTGCCTTTCTTACTTTTAATTACGTCTTCTGAAGCTTCCCCTGGGGCTTTGCCATAGGAAATGGAGACTCCTGTTGGAAGCTGTTAATAAGCTGCTTCTAATACCTAGGGAAGGGTCCCATTTCCTTCTGAGTTATTTTCAAGCTCTTTGGAAAGAGAAATCAATAGCATGTAGGGATATGATCAGTGCATGCTGCAGAGCTCCTGGATTGTTAATGTCCTTGTCATCTCTCTCCTCAGATAACTTTTCTGAACGTGCAGATAGAGAGACATTGTTTAAAGATGTCCAAAGTAGCAGAAAGGTGAGTGTCTCATTTGCATGATTTCCTATTCTTTCCTCATCTCCAGTTTGGCATTTCCAGAAACAGAGAGGGGGCAGGAATGCACAAAGGCTGGTCCCCTTTCTGTGCTTCCCCCTCCTTGACCAGCCGTGCTGCCCGTCTGCTGACCATTGACACTTCTGCACTCACTCTTTGAGAACAAGTAGGTGAAAAATGAGGATGTTGTCATACTGTAAAATCAAAAGAAATGTTATTTGCAAAAGAAAGAACCCTTGCAGTACTTCTGTTTCCCTCCCCTTCACAACCCTAGAGTTTGTTTACAGGAAAGTCATTCCTGTTTCAAGTTGAAAATGCCTTTTTCTTTTGTGGATGAACTCTCAGTGCTTATCTCTTGTAGGCTGGCACAGCTCTGGGGCAGGAGCTGCATTCATGTCCGTGTTCATACTGGGGTTGTAGGGTCAGTTTCTGCTCTCACTCATACATATGAAACCCTATGGGAAGTACTGGCATTGTACCTGGACTACTCAAGGCAATGTTTTAAGAGGTATATTTCTCATAGAGGCAAATCAAGGCACAATTTGACTTGCAGAATATTTAGTTCTGTTAGGAAAGTATAAACAGGTAAAGAACAAGCTCACATTTAATTGAGAATGACAGCTCCTTTACTTAGATACTTGTAAGTTATGGACATTTGCAAGGGAATCACTGAGACAAATGCAGGGATAGGCATGCACTTCAGTTAACATCAATTTTAGAGCAAAACTGTGTTGTACATGGGCGATGTGATAAAGGCTGGTGCCATGTAGAGAAATAATAGAGGAATTTTTATTTAAGCAAATTAAAACCAGATTACCCTATGAAATGTGCTTTGCAGTGCCTGCACCTGTAATTAGCATATGTGTACTAAACTAGGCAAATTAAATGGCGAGAGCCCCGAAGTTGACTCATAAAGTTTAACGATTAAAAAGAAAATTTATCTAGTTGAATAGAAAATATTCAGAGGCTCCATGAAATCCTGCATATACTATACTGTATGTTTGAAATTAGCATATTCATATTTATGTTTTGGGCTTTCTGGTTCTTTTTTATTAAGAGGATATGTTTGTGCTTTACTAAAAAAAAGACATTTTGTACTGAATTTACTTACAATGGTCTTAATATACTGAGACAGTAATGATTTCCAGGCTGGTAATTTACAAGCAAGCAGATCTGTTTTACTTGAATTTTTTCTAGGTGGGTATTTATTCAATAAGATGGACTCAGTAAAACTCATTCACTTGTGAACATCGAATCCTGTCCACCTAACACCCTGTTGATCATGAGGAGCTAGTGACATTACAAATGTAACGCTGTCAATGCCAACAAAATTCTGATATTTTTCAGTAAAACTGGACAGAAAAGTTTCCTGGTTTGAAAGGGCGTTGGACTTTTTTTTTTTAAATTGGTCCCAAATTAGATAAGAAAATGTTGCTATGAAAACCTGTGCAAATTGATAACCAGGAGAAAAGTAAATAAAAGATAACAATCAAAAAGTTATTATCTCCTGTTTTGAAAGTTTAATTTTGAAATTATAAAGAATTAAAATCATGGTTGTGATATTTATATCTTGTGAAGAAGCGTTTGGTTATGTGATGGCTTTGGGTGGCAGCATTGCTGGAGGGTCCCAGGGCTTGGTATGGAGAGCACTGGGAAGTGCAGCCTGGATGTGGAGGGTCATGGAGCAGGCAGGAGGGAAATAGAGGGGCTGATGTGTCCAGTGACTTAGCAGGGGTGGGGATGGGTGAGGAGGAATGAATGTGGGTGACCTGAGTCAAACGATTGCCTGAAATAAAATCCTGTGTGGCCTGAAAGCCTGATGTAAAACACTGAATATAAATGCTTGGAACAAATCTGCTGCATGAGGAGATGCTGTTATTAGCAAGTTGCTTTTCAGGCTGGGACTACTTTAAGTGACAGTGTGGCATATTGGGGTGCAGGAGACGACTTCTTGGCACGCTCTTTTCGACAGCCAAGCCTGACAGTGGCACCACCTGCCATTTTTCCTGTACAGTGCAAAGGCATTCTCAGACAGGATGAGGGAAGTAACAAGGAGCAAATAAGGCAGGGGGTGGTGGGGAAGCAAGCTGCTCTCTAATCTGTTATAGGAATAAGATACAAATTATTTCAATAGTGATAGACCAATCACATACATTTTCCGTGAATGCTTGCTATTCTATGGGATGGCCCTTGTACAGCAGAAGAGGAATGGAAAAGCTCTCCAAAGGTTATCCCCAGCTCCAGTGAAATAAATGCCCACTACTAAAAGTTTTCTTGCCTCTCCTCCCTGTTCCTCTTCCAGGAGTAGATCTGCATGAAGTGTGGGAGCAGGCATCCTTCAGTTGCTCCAGACACCTTGGAAACAGCTTTCTTCTTTCTTTCACATCCCTTTCTCCCCACTTGGGACCTGCACACTGTCAGGTTTAGGATTTGGAAATAGGATTTGAGAACTATTGAGATAAAATACCAATATAGTCTACCTACTGTTTTCCCTGTCTGCATCATGCAGTGTTAATGCAATCCCATTACATGTGGCATCACAGAAATGGCTGGGGAAACCCAGAGCGTCTTCCTACCAGAAGCAATCTCAGCTCCCTAGATGAAAATCTGTGCTATCCTCTCAGCTCCTCAAAGTAACCACGAGGGCTCAGCAGGGGCCTCTGATTGCAAGACAGTTGGGTTCTCAAGGCAAGCTCTTGCACCCTTCAGTGACTGCTTCCCACCCTTTTCTACCAGAATTACAGTCTGTCACCCGAAAGGCCAAAAGTCCGGGTCTGCATTCTAACAGAAACGCTTTCCCTCCATAGTCCCCCTCCTGTAGCCATCTAAAGAAGATAATGAGGCAATGATTCCGCTGCTGTCATTATACTGAATCGGCAAAATGTGCTTAGCAATTCCTGCTTGTTTCATTTAATTTAGTTTTTTTCCCTTTTATTTTTGCTAGTACTTGTACTAGCACCTCTGATGCCTTCTTATTATTTTATTAGGAGCAATTCAAGTTTCACAGCAGATATCTCCTGATTGATCCTTTTTGCTGTTTTTTTTTTTTTTTAAACAACCCTTTCTCTCATTGATGTCTCAGGGATTGCTGCTGCTCTCTGAAATTGGACGCTGCTCCCTCCTCCAACCCTTGACCCACAGCAGTCATGAAATGTAATTAATGAAATGAGATGAGACAGCCCTGAGTGCCCTGAGGGGCAACGGGAACCTGCTGTGGTTACAAAAGTGTATGATTTTAATGCCTCATGATAAGAGCTAGGACAAACAAAAAGAAATAATTACTGTAGAGCAGGTCAGGGAAACTTTCTGCCTTTTGTGACCCTTTGTTTCACAGGGTCTTTTCATTCTCCTGCCTTTTTTGAGATGTGGAAAACCAGATGTAAAGTTTAGCATGGACAGTCACAGTGCAAGTAGATTAGTTGTTCAGAATGATGAGACTCAATTAACGTAGTTAATTACTTGGCAGAGCCAGGCAAAAAAATTAAAAAGTGCCTTAGAGTATTTCCAATATAGACTAGGACAAATTTCTTTTGATTTATTTCATACATGCTGTCTTTCTTCTGTAAAAATGCGCCCCTAGCCCCAACCCCAGTGGAATTCCTGAATCACTTATGCAATCAGACACAGTCCTTTTCCCAGGAAGCTCTTTGAATGTCATCCTAGTGAGGGTTAGAGGCTGTATATCTTACCTCGTCATGAAGCAAGCCAGTATAAGGGCCAGGTGTTTTTCCAACATGCATATAATTTACTTACATTCTAAGTTAATTATTATAAACTACTCTTGAAGTATATTATAATAGCGCCATTAGACTAAATGGTATACCAACATAACAACAAATTTATCTATAGCTTGAAGCTTTGATGCTCAGGACTGTGATCCTCCAAAGATTTAAGTATATTCTTATCTACAGCACATGACCTTATTTAGATGAGTTACTCATAATGCATAAAGTGGGTGCAAAAGTTTGCAAAAAACAAAAGGGCAAGAGGCAACAGCAACATACAGCAAATGAAGAGGAGGACATGGCTCTGTGGTGAAAGTCCTACCGTAGCAATGCAGTTGTTGCCTCATTGGACTTGTTGTGGGCATCTCGACAGAGACAAGCTTGAGGAAAATAATTGCAGTGAGCAGGTGGGTGTTTGCAGAGAAATCCTTGCATGCACCATCCCTGGGAAAAGGGACTCCTGTGGTTGCTGAGAAGGGGATTAATACCTATAAAAATAAAAAGAAGCACAGGAAAAAAAAGAAGAAAAAGGAAAGCTGTACCTCTCTGACATGTGACTGAGCATACAGGCCCTCATTCTTTCTTTTCTTTCTTCTTTTTTTTTGTCTCTCAGTTTAATAGCCTACACAGAGCAGTATGTGGAATATGATCCCTTTATAACTCCTGCTGAACCTTCCAATCCCTGGATAAGTGATGATGCAGCGTTGTGGGACATCGAAATGAGGTAAGAATTGGTAGTTTTAAGTAATGTTAGAGTTGTCTTGCCATTATGTTTGTATGGTCTTCCCACTGCCCTGCTTGGATAGGAAGTTGGATGTTTAACTTTACAAGATACAAGTACATAGCTGAAGTTTAAACAGAGGCTTATCACTTCCTCTGTGAATTATTCAGCCTTTCCACTTCCATATGACTTTATGAGTGATACTCTTAAGTTAGGTAATGGATGTTCTCATGCCTGTCAAGGACATGCACAGACTCAGGTCAGAGATCCCACAGGTGTAGGATACTGCTAAGAGATACTTGCTCCAGCATGGCTCCTTTGACCCTTGAGAGCTTGATTTCCAGTCCTCCCTCAGCTGCAGTGCACCTGCCCTGCTCCTGGGATCCCATGAGAGATGCTGCTGGCAGAATAGCATGGGTTATAGGGCAGTGGCCGTTCCCACTGTGCAGAGGTGGATTTGGCACGGGAGCTAGAGAAGTGTAGCTCACACGTAACATGTGAGATTTGGCGGGTCAGAATTATAATAGATTGATAAAGGGAGCTGGGCCTCGCTTCTTAGTGAACAAGCTGGCTTGTCTCTGTTATGGTGTCTATTAGATGAAAAGGTGGAGGAATGACTGTAGGACTTCCAGTGCCTTGAACCTCAAAGACCTTCTCCAAAAAGCAAGCACGGCACTACAATTTAGTTTGGGTTTTGCCCATGTGATGCTGGTGCAAGGGAAGTCGGGCTGGTGTCTACATCTCTTGCTGTCACAGGCTATCCGCAGCCCTTGTAGTGGGGCTAGAGTTGTCCTGCCTGCCTCTATGCCTAGCAGCTATCGCAGCAGGTTTGAATGCCATCACCATGCCATATGTCACCTTCCTTGCTCTCTCCTGTCCTGTGGCCAACTACTGCGATTGCTCAGCAGCTTCTTCTAGTGTTTACCTGCTGCCGTTCAGCACCAAATCTGAACTGGGAGTTCACTTTAACAAATCCTTGTAAAGAGAATGCCAAATCTAATCCTGTCTGGTTTTGAATAATAATGTTAACTTTAAGATACTACCAGCCCAAGAAAGCCAATTCATCGTGAATCATCGTTCCAGGAAAAGGACAAGTTCTTTCCCTTTCTAAAAACCATGTGGTCTGGGTTGTGAAAAATGTTTTCACCTGCTGCTCTGGAATCTCTGCCCCTCTTCACATAATTTTAATATTTTGGATTTCCTTTTTAGTAATTTTCTCTCATTTTCCCCATCCTCCCTAGCAGGGCTAGAACTAGATACAGTCCTGCAAAATACTTCTCTGGAGGAACCCCCACCTACAAGGTAAACCAGGCATCCATTATTTCCACATCTGTTGAGCTATCTGCAAATCCCAGAAAAGATGTCTGTGTTCTTGAGGAATACAATTAACATGATGTCACAGCCTTTATAGGAATTTAAAATAAATGCTTGTCTTCTGCTATGATTTCAGAGTTAAGGAAGGTGATTCTCCTGCTGATGAAAAAGAGAAAGTTGTATTGTTGGGAGATTGAAGAACAAACAGCTCTGTATTTCCATTTAATTCTCTATTGTAAGAGAACTCACTGCATCTGCATCTAGTTGCAACTTGCATGAATAATTAAATGATCCCCGAGAGCTGCGGTAGCCCTTGTGTTGCCTGCAAAGCTGTTTCCTCAGTTAGGAGAGCAGAGCCTTTGCTCAGGAAAACAAAGAGCCTCTCACTGCTTATGGTAAGGGCCAGCTGCCGAGCCTGGACAGCCCTGTGCCACTACAGTTCATGGCACTCAGGAAACACCATGGAAAGCCTTCAGTTTTAGACAGCACTTTGGCCTTTTCGTTCATGCTAGAACATTGCGCAGCAACAAGGAGAGCAGCTATAGATCTGTAGATTCAGCAGGAAATTCCCAAGCTTAGCTCGTGCATAGCTCTGCACAAACATGGCTTTCAGGCCCCCACGTTTGGGCTGGCTCAGTTAGCAGGTAGGCTGTCATCTGTGCCCTTGTCCGCAGCGCTGCTGGCTCCTGGGTGAGTGCAGGAGGAGCCATCCCGAGTGCTCTGTACTTCAAGTGAGGACTTGCCCATCAGTTTTGCTTAGTCTTTACACCAAGAGGAAATCAAAGCGGGCATTTTATTTACCCCTTTGGCTTATTTGTCTTCAGCACAGATCGCCACTGTCCCCTAAGGCTCCAGGATTAGGAATCGCTGTGGACATGACAAGACATGTAGTTTAATAGATATGTACTGTTAACAGTGGCTCTACTGTCACAAACGTGAGCTGCTGAGCTGTATTTTAATGGTTGTCTCATAGTATGGCACCATCACACCAGAAGCTTTCAAACGCTCTGTGAGCCCAGATTATGCTCTGATGCGCAGACTGTCTTGTAGGATCCTCATCGTGATTCCCAGGCACTGCCTCTCCCTATAGACATCTCTGCAACATGTCTGGTAATTCAAACAACAGCTTATGTAAGTGGAGTTATATTAAGAAATAATTTAGCAGAAAGGTTATTAGTAATTTTAGGGTGCCTCTGCATCTCAGTGTCCCAGCTGAGACACAAAATAAGAGTCTGATTATCATGGAGGGTGGGAGAGAGATGCTTTTTAGTCTTCCAAGACTTAGGCATCCAAAAATCAGAGGCACTGAAAAATAAAAGACCACAAACCAGTAATCATTTTTAGAAAACTTGTCTGCACTGCTTCTTAGTGAAACTGCTTTTTTAATGCAAATGTGGAACTGAAAATCTGAAGCCAGTTCCAAGTGACCAGCCAGCACTGTGTGGGACACAAGGAGATGCTCTGGAGCTCACCAGCGGCCCAGGGAACACTGCTGGCAAATTTCTGCCTTGATGTATAAGCAATCCCAAGGTACATCTGAGTAGATATATAAGAAGTGCATAATGGATAATCATTCAAGTATGATATGCTGTTCTTTACATGAAACCTACCAGAAATTATTCTGAAAATGATGTCTCACTGTCTGTCTTTTGCTGTGTATATAAACATCCAGATAGTACAGTTGCTTTAATGGTGACCCTGATCTTTATCACTTCTTTTTCTATTTTATTTGCTAACTTGTATTTCTACAAAACCTTGAGAAAAAACCACCATCTCCTTATCTGATAATCTTCCTCCCTTTGCTGCGTAGCAGTAACAGCAGCAGCTGCTCAGACAGCAGGCTGAAATGCACATTCCATCTGTTTTTTCCCTTTTCTCTACAAACAGCAAAGAACCTAGTCAGCAGCGTGTGAAAAGATGGGGTTTCTCCATGGATGAGGTGCTGAAGGACCCAGTAGGACGAGACCAATTCCTTCGTTTCCTGGAATCAGAATTCAGCTCAGAAAACCTCAGGTGAAACCTTTTTTGACTTGAACTAAATGAATGGGACCAATCCTAGTTTCTTGCATAGGTGAAGGGCAATACTTGAACTGCTAAAAACACCCATTTTAATAAAGCTGAGAATGGCAGGATTTGGCCCATAGCACTGCTATGGATGCCTACACTAGAATTATATAAGTAACCTCAGGAACAGTGTTCAGCAGAGCCGGTGTTGTCAAGTATTGTATGCAAAGGCTTGCAAAGTTTCAATAATGTGATGAGGCACAGCATTTAAGCCTGTTAATAATGTATAGGATTTACATGTGTATTTGTGGCAGGGGTCGTGTGAGGGAAACAGAGTATGGTGATCATGTGGCTAAAAACTGTTGCAGTACTGGCAGTCACCAAATCAGGTCTCCAGCACCTACTTTTAATTCTGGCACCTTCGAACTATTCAAGAGCTTGACTGTCACCTTAACAGCACTCTTTCTGTGTGGGAATTCTGAATACCTGGCTTCTCTTGTTGTGAAGAATACAAAACTTCTATTATGAAACATTATGTAGACACCCACATGATACTACATCAGACTAAGAGTATAAACTCATGCACACAATTCTGCTACTTCAACTACAGCAGGAATAGGCAGCAGTAATAAGTTGCTGGTCTTTTGGTGACTAGATGAAGACAAAACCTGTCCTAGGAGATCCAGCTGCTGTGGCCTTGTCTATAACACTGTTCTAAACCTGGTCTCTGGCCTAGCACATTGCTCCAAGATCGAGTGCCATTGCAGAACTGTTGAAAAGACACTGGAAGTGCCAACAGCATGCTTCATTCAGGGGTAGCAATGCTTCAAAGAGTATGCCTATCTCTTCAGCCTTTCCAGCTGCAAAACTAGGTGCCAAACTCAAGACCTTAGGATTCATTAGTCACCCCTGCATACCCTAGAACTACTGTATTAAGTAATTTTCCCATATTGATACCAGGTATCTTCTCACACTAACAGAAAAAGAGAGGTCTAGCTAGATATTCCCCATAGGCCCTAAGCTAAAGCCACAACCCTGCGTACATAGCAAGGATCTGAGTCCCCTGCTTGTCCTAGCATTAGTCAGACTATTGTCACAGGTTTTATCATCCTTGATTTGAATCTTAACTCTAATTCCAACCCTAACCCTGAAGTTTATTTTGGGGAAAGCAGCTCTTCTTCTGTGAGGAGGGTGATGTCCACAGAAGAGCTAGTGTAATGTATCCTGCAGATACAACCAAACGACAACATAACAGCAAAAGCAAATATACTACAGTGAGCTCTGAGAAAGTGGGGTTCCCGGGATTATGCTTGAATCAGGAGTGGGACAAACCTTGGGATTAGTGTTCAGGATTGCAGACATTTAATGCTAGCTTCATTGCTTGGTGCTGCAAAGCCCAAAGAAAATGGGAGAGGGCTCATGCCAGCCAGAGAGGCAGCCTGCACAGGTAGAGGTTGATACTCAGTGGTTGAAGTTACAGTTCAGACTCACGCCTGCATGTGACAAACAGCCAAATTTACTGCCACATTCATGCATTTGCGCAGAAGCAGAAAGGTGGTGGTTAGCAGCAGGGCAGATGACTTGGCATTGGCATCAGGGAAGGCTGCAGCCACTGGCTTGTGCTGAAGGTGAGGGTGTAAGTTGTTGTCGGGGTGCCAGTCTGTGCTCTTGTGCTCATGTGTGGGATCCTTGCTCCTTAACTGGGGTACAGCAGGTCAGAGGCACTTCGTGGATATCTGCAACAGTCCTCACCTGCTCCTTCCCTTGGTTAGTTTTAGTTCTGGAGACACAGAAGGATCCAGCAGTAATGTAATTTGACTGCCCTAGATACGGCGGTATCCAGTAGAAAACGCTTTTTTTACAGAGCCTGAATTACACTGCAGAGGCTTTGTTGTGGTGCTCTGGTGCCATCTCAGCACGTGGATGGTCACATTCTTTCTTTGGGGCAGTCCTGTTCCAGTAGGCCCAGCGATCATTAGCAGAGATGGACAGAGAGCTTGCAGTTTCACTGGCAGAACTGTGCCTGCTCCCAGGGTTAGGAGATCTGTCAGCTGAGCATGCGGTCAGTTGGGTTCTGGTCCTTGCTGGTAGTGAGCAGGTTTGATGCCATTCTTAGTTTACACCAACTAGGAGCTTGATTGCACAGCCTTTAAGTTCATGTTTTGTTATTTTTTTCACTTAGAAAATCAAATACACTAGTAAAGCATGTGAACAATTGCCACTTTAGTGCAGTCTGCTAGCCTGTGAGATCTGAAAGGGAAATTCCCAAGAAAGTGACTTTAAACAACATTGGAACTGACCATCGTATTTATCAGATGTGCCTGTCAGAGAAGTACAGAAAGCCTGCCAGCAGCAGAACAGTGAAAAATCAACACACCTTTATATTCATTATTTTTAAAAACCTGAAAGTTAACTTGTAAGATAAACAAGGGAATGTTACTAAATTACATAAATGAGCTTGAAATTTTATTGCTGAACAGGTACTGAACTTGTATATGCTTACTGCACTTACGTAGTGGTGCTCATTTGCAATTAAATTGTAGTGGTGAGGTGCAAAATTAATATACTGTATTGAAATACTCCTCAAATGGGTTTTCTGAAATATATCTGGGGTTACACTAATGAAATCTAGCAGATTTTATGACTGGCAGGTGTCCCCCACGTTCATCCTACTCAAACAAATGGAGAAAGTTTCATTATGAGAAGACAAGCATGTACCTTCCTCGGTCAGTCAGAGCTGCCCCTCCTGCTGACATGCGTTCTCTTTGGTTTTGAGATGGCTTGTAGCGAAAGGAGGCTGCAAGTCAGGGGGTTGGGATAGAGAGGTTAAATCCTGCATTCTTTTTGGAAGACACTGGTATCATTATTAGTTAATATGGGAACACTGCTGGCATTCTTATGGTGTCATTGTCATAGTATTGGCTTAGGTGGCATTGTTATTAACTAATACTGGATCAGTATTAGCAAGCCTGTTAAAAGCTTTAAATAACAACAGGATGTAAAGGCAGAAATATTAACAGAGAAAACTGGAAGAGGATGGATTGTTAGCAGTGGTGCTAGAGAGCAGAACATGGCTCTCTAGGGTTCAGGTGTGGCAGAGAAAGCTCCTGGATTCTCATTAAGAGTGTTTGGCAGAAAGGAAAGCAGTTGCTGGATGCTTAAACATGCAAGCAAAGTGTAAGTTAAACCTAACAGCAAGGTTGGGATCTGTCTCACCTAATTTGGCAGCTTGGAAGCATGTGCTTTCTGCTGTATCATCCAGGCTCCCTTTAGAGTGAGAGAGAAGCTGAAGAGGAGTCAGTGAATCACCTGGGAAGGATTTGTTTCAGCTTTAAGTGGAAACAAAGCTAAAAGCACTTAAATTACACTGCAAAGCACCTGTCCCTCTCTACCATCTATAAGCCTGGTGGATTCAAATGATGGTGTCTGCATGGTAGACATCTACAGTTAGGTGAGATGCATCCCATGCAAACCCTGGGAGGCTGTAAGGAACTTTCTGAGGGCACAGCATCTGGTACCCTGCTGGAAAAATTACGTTTGCAGTTACCTTTTAAGGACTCTCCTCCCAGAGATCTGGGAACTGTTGCAGCAGGGACATGTTCTCTCTTGGGAATGTCAGTAGGATCTTCATTAACACTGGCAGGAGTCCTGTAAGCCCCTACGCTGTCCTCAAGGCACACCTGAGAAAGTTACTGCTGAAAACCTAGAAATTCCTGGTAGTGCTAGGAAAGATTTCATGAAGTGTTCACTTGAGAATGCTTTGAAATGAATATAATTCGGTGGCATAGCAAGGGGACCAAATTCTATTGTTGTGCCCAGTGGTGCAAGTTCCAAATCACAGGGTTGACTGTGGTGGGGTATTTCCATATCTTCCTACCTGAGAAAAATTGGTCCCAGTGGGGGTCTTAAGTGAGGCACTGCCAGAGATAGCAGCAGACTAGACTCAGTGACCTCCCAGGTCTCCTTCCAGCTGTGTTTCTGTGTTCTAATAAACTTGCAGGATCATGTCCACCAGTCTCCTGGGTTTAGCTGAGCCCTGTAACTTATTTATTTACTGGCTGTCCATTATTTATGTGAGAGCAGGAAAGCCAGTCAGTGGGGTATTTTTCTCTGTCTTTATTTTAACTCTTTTTCTTGCTCTTTTCTTTCTCCTCTCTGTTGCTGTCTTTCATCTACAGTTTGTTCTGACTATGTTGATTTTTGAAGTACCCAAAATATAGCAGACAAAATGCCAAACTTCAATTAAAAAAAAAAAAAGGCCAACAGAGAGTTGTTATACATTTTTTATGACCTGGAAATCTCCCGAGACATCTTGAGATTGCTGAGATGTTCATCTAACTGGTGGATTGAATTTTATTTTTTTTTTTACCAACTTCAAAGAGTGTCAGCTGGAAAGAGAAACAACTAAGTGGAAATATGGGACGCGGGAATTTTACCCGAAGGGGAAGGAGACTGCACACCTGTTTATAGACCTAAATAGAGAACACATGACGCTGTATAGGAATGCACTGTGGAGCTTGCAGTGCACGAATGCGGGCGTTTTGTGTCCTATTGTGAACATACGGTGAAAATCGAGTTATCTGGAAAAAAATTTTACCTGCAGAAAGCATTTACATCTTATATGACCTCTAATGGCTGAAACTTGTTGCCAGTGTGTGGTTTGGGTTTGTTTTTTTTTTTTTTGTCGGGAAAGGAAAAGTTGGGGCATGGCAGAGAGCACATCTATTAAGTAAAACCCACCCAAGCCCCTTGTTTCCCAAATAAAAAGCTGCGGGAGGGTGCGGGGGATCGTCCCAGGAGTCCCGCGGCGGGGCGGTGCGGGGATCGTCCCGGGTGTCCGAGGCGGGGCGGTGCGGGGATCGTCCCGGGTGCTGTCTCTTATACACAT